CTTAGGGATTTTCAAATACGTCCATCGCTGCCCATTACCCAGCTAAAAGGCCTCGTACGCATCGATAAATAAAGTAAGTATACTTCAATCTTCTAGCCTAATGCAGATACTCTAGTTTACGACACAAAAGCTTAAAGTCCTTAGAGATCTTCAAGCGCGGCAACAATGCAAGGCGCGTTGGGGAATTTCATAAGCCTCTATTCTATCACTTGTGCACCACATTCATCGAGACCTCGTTGACGTTGGTGCGACGCGAATTGAGAATAGTACTGCGCCGTTCTCACGCGGAGATAAGCATGGTGCTGTGTCAAGACGACCGCATTTACGATTCTATCTCGTCCTGTATGAATGAACGCTCTCTCCCTGTCCTCCCATTTTCTTCATACATACTTTAGCCTTTAGTAATTTTCAAACCGGTACCACTTCTGCTTCCAAAGTTTTCGAAATCAAATTTAGTTAAAAAAAGATGAAGAAGATATAGTTAGGAATATAAACACAAAAACACAATGTCCTTGCTTGCCCAACTTCTCAAAATATGCAGAACATAAGCATTGTGTATAACTTTCTACATGTTACATAATACGTATGAGCAGTTACAAATGCCAGCTGTTCCTCCAAGCAGTGATGCATGCTGCAGTAATTTCTGAAGTGAAAAAAAAAACAGGTTAAAGTGTTTAGAATTTCATAAAATTCAGCTAGTCAACTATCTTTCAAACTAAACGATTGGCGTTTTTGAAATATTGCAGATAACGGATACCATTTACTAAATCAGCTTTATTCTATCTCTTAAGCTGCACTAACTGCGGAAACGATTGCATCGCAATTGAAAGAATGCCATTTTCCTTCGCATTCATCTTATCTACATCTGCTGTTTGAGTTAAATCTTTTACTTCATTCTACCTAGAAATGTTGTCTAATTCGAGATTTCTCGGTCCATTTGTGTTGTACATCCATCTCATTTTGGTCTTTTACTTAGCACTTCCATTGACAGGCCAACTTTATGTGGTTCTCCTCTCTCCTACTCACATGTCCACTGACGCAAACGTCTTCTTAAAGAATTGGATCAGCCTTTATTTGCGTTCTAACCAGTCGTTATGGATGTGATGCACCATTTATGAGCTAAGGTCCATCGCAGCATCCTTATCTCCGTGGACCTTCTCTTCTTTCCGGATGCTTGGCCAATATTTGCCACCATACGATACTGTTGAACAGATCACAGTACATCCGTGAACGGCAATGCAAGGCATTCGTTTGTCATAGAGGACGCCTGTCAAGCTCCACTGCAGCCAGGCCAACCTTATTCTGACTGATAGCTCATCTTCGTCTATTACTCCTTCCCTGGACATGCAGCTTCCCAGGTATTTGAACGATTTCGTTTTCTTGATTGGCTCATCTCTAATGCGTATAGTCCCCGGGTTTTGGCATTTCACCTGCATATAATCGTCTTCTTCGTGTTGAGCTTCAAACCGTGCAATTCCAGACAGTTCTATCTCTATACCTCTCCTGTTCTTTCTGACATCAAGAGGACATCATTGCGTACAGGGAAGTCCATTGCAAATGCAGTTTGAGATTAACTGCGTCCAACACTACGATGAAGAGTAAGGGAGAGAGTGCCAAGCCTTTGTAGCCTCGTCGATGCTAAATATTGTATGAATTAATGCACATGGCTGGTAGCTAGGTGGTGGATCATCTAGCTACTAGCCATGTGCATTAATCCATGCAATATACCGTTCCAGGACCATGTTTCCCTAGCGCCACCAATAATGTTATGTCGGAGGCAGTGGTCTGAGGTAAATGTTGAATGTTTTTCCCATGACCAGGGAAGCCGCATTCAGCCCTTCTTATTCATCCCTCATACTTCTCTTTTACTATTCGGGCAGTATGAATGGCTTCAGTAAAACTAGAATTCTTCTCAAAGCCGCAGATAATGGTGCAACCCTATGTTCTTTCGATACCGTCTCTACATTCTTTCGTACATTTGCAGAGTGTGCATAGTTGGACTGATTGTTACGTTGTGCACACCCTTCAGAAATCGCGGCAACGTCATCTGGACCAATTGCCTTATCGCTTATCTTGTTTTTGCCACAGCACCTGTTGAAAAAAATTCTTATGACTTAGATTTATGTTATCCTTCCACTATCCAGCTGCTCTTTGCA